GCATTTGACTGCAGTATGACAATCTAGCATGCCGGTCATTTTCCATATGACTAGATTCAGTCCTTTATGCTTGCCCTCATCTTCCTCGCATGCAAAGGGCCCCAGATTCTTGGGTTTAACAGGGCATCACGTCCGAGGTGACCAGTGGTGGAGTCAGAGTCCAGGCTGATGGAGCCCTGAGCAATGCATGTGTGCACAGGAAATAAAATGTCCCAGCAGGAAGAGAGTGCCAGGGCAACAGGAAAATGCGGATTTTGAAGGGGCTGCTGGGGCTGCTGCAGGCCCGCCTATCAACTGTTTGAATCCTGCGTTTCATGCATCTTAAGCCTAATTGCTCTCGACCCCCAACCTCCCTATTATCGGAGTATTAATTACCTGATTAAAATTCTGCCCTCATAAAAGCATGCCAGCTTCCTTTCTGATATATAAACCATCTCACCATCAAAAGTTAGGAGGGTACAGGGTACCTGGCACGGGTAGTCCATCGAGGACGACCAAAACCTCTGTAGAAAACTCTGTCTGAAAATGTACTGTTAAGCCAGGTTCTTTCCTGTGACTCCCAGCAGAGTAACGGGTTGTAGGATCTGCTGTTTGAGAGCAATGTAGGCCCCCTGCTCTGTGACCAGTAAGAGGTGGATGATGGGCAGTATGGAAATCGGAAGCTACCAACTTGGGCAAGAGTTCCCCTCTACTGAACCACTTAGCATTCAGCACAAATGGCCGATGAACTTAGTGGTCTTTCTGCCATAATACATCTTACCTTAGAAGCCAGTGTTACAGTGTGACTGGTATCTGAGATCATTCGGTTTTATCCCCTTTTGAGGTTTTCCAGACTCGAATAACTGGGCCATTCTCCACGATGTAGACCTTTGGGACCTAAATTAGCACTACATCTGAATGTTCCCGAATTTCCTATTAAGGGAAGTCAGGATTCTGCCCTTGGACATACCCTTGGTACATCTTCCCATCTGGGATCAAAGAACACACAGGACTAACTCAGCACTGGGCATCTATTGTGTGGGTTCAGTCGCTCAGTCATGCCTGACTCTTTGTGAACCCATGGACTGCAGCCCACCAGGCTCCTCTGTCCATGGGATTCTCCAGGCAAGAATACTGGAGTGGGTTGCCATGCCCTCCTCCAGGGGATCTTTCTGAACCAGGGATTAAACCTATGTTTCCTGCATCTCCTACCCTGCAGGCGGATTCTTTGCTACTGAGCCCCTGGGGAAGTCATACTGGGCATCTGTATGCCCAACACCTTAGACTAGAACATTCCAGGTACCTGCCAAGAAATATACCTGAAACTCACAGCCCTCTAAATGTCCAGCCAAAGTTTGGTTGTGAAAACAGACTCCACGAAGGATTACAATGAAAGTCATGACATCTCTGTGTGGTCTAGTAATTCAAAGTCACCACTAGATTAAGCCACTTCCTTAGGGAACTGTCTACCTGCATCAATAACTGCAGCTCCCAGGAGACCCGCATTAACTGAACTGCACATTAATATGACATGGCTCTTGCCTGCCATACAATTATAAAGTTCCACTCTGCTCCTTTACTCTATTCCAATAATATCCATGTATACATAGGAAAAAAGAAAAAGAAAACAGTGCACTGAGGACCATCACGAGAAGCAGCCTGTGCGGGAGAACTTCTGAAGAACAGATGGCGACTGTATCATCAAGAGGTAGAGATGAAAAGTAAGGGAGTATCAGCCCTCCCACAGGAACATTCCAGAACCATCTCCTGTTGCCACCATCCTTCCCCCTTGGCAAGAAGCAGCCAAGGCCCCTCTGAGGGGCTCAGCAGGAGACTGGGATGTGACTGGAGAGGCGTCACCCATCAGAACTCACTTTCTACAGGTCAGGGAGGCCAGCAAGGAGACTGTGACTGCACGTCTCCCTCCAAGGAACAGAGCAAACGGGTCCATAATTAGGTTCTGTTCTCTGATGGGGTTTTTAGGAAGAACTATGCCCGGGAAAGGGCACCTCCCTGTTGATGGAGCAGCTTTGGAGAAAGAACCCCAAAGACCCAGATGGGGGCATGACAGTCACAGGCAGGCCTCGCGGGATAGTGTTAAGTCTCTGGTTTAGGCCACTGGGGAAGCAGCCTGACTCTATGTCCCAAATAACCCCAATAAATCAGCACAAGGAGTCTCAGTCCAAGAAGAAGTGTATATCTCAAAAGCCTACCTACTAGTGAAGCGTGAAAAGCTTCCCCACCAACAGAAGGAACATGCAGAGAGGCCTAAAGACACGCTTGCTTTTGAGCCCAGTTCAGAAAGGGGAAGCCCCTGCTGGAAGACCAGAGGGAAAAGGATAGTTCACCCCAGCCAACAAATGACACGGTGAGGATACCATCTGTTACCGGTCCTACTGCAAAGGCTTTCCAAAAGGTAATTCCTCTTCCTGTTTGGAACCAAAGAATGTTGGGCTAACTCAGCCGCCGGGGATCAGTAGCTCCTGACAACTTAGGACTAGAACACAGCCACTCCAGGTACCTGCAAGGACTATGAAAGTCAAAGTGGAAGTCACTCAGTTGTGTTCGACTGTTTGCAACCCCATGGACCATACAGTCCATGGAATTCTCCAGGCCAGAATACTGGAGTAGGTATCCTTTCCCTTCTCCAGGGGATCTTCCCAACCCAGGGATCAAACCCAGGTCTCACCCATTGTGGGCAGATTCTTTACCAGCTGAGCCACCAGGGAAGCCCTGGAAGCAAATTCACTCCAGCCAGCAAGTCACACAGCGAGGATACCATTTGCTATTTATCCTATTGAAAAGGTGTTTTCTTTTTAAAAAAGGTAAATGTTCCTGAGAGTACAGCAGGGGAAAAAGCCAAAGGAGATGAACTGATACAGTCTTTCCTGGAATCTGGTATTCTATACCCAGAGCCCATAGAAGCATACCCTCTTCAACTCAGGAAGGCTATAGCTGGGAATATGTCTGCAGGACACAGATGTGGGCACGGAGATGTCAAATGAGGAAGCTGATCAGAGTGACTCACAATGGTAAACACCACTGAGAAAGTAAGTCGGCTCGCCAAACGTCGTTTCAGTCCACTGGGGGACATGTGCAGGAGGAATGTTATGTAACTACTAAGATGGTGGCATACAGGCATGCTTGCTGATATGGGCAGGGGCCTGAGATCTGGCATCGTCTAGCAGAGCAGGGAACATGCCGTGTGCACTGCAGGTCAGTGGAAAGAAAAGGCATAGACTATAGACACAGCTAGGAGGATACACCTCAAAATGTCAGCACTCACGTTTCTTAAGAGGGTATCTGGGAGAAGTACATTTTCTTTAACTCCTCATTAATCACAGCGCAATTTTCAAAAAGTACTTAAAATTAAAAGCTTAACGTTGTTGTGCTTAACAGTGATATAGTCAAATGACCACCTAATACTATATATATTCTAATCTACACATATACCTACGTGAAGGCAGATCAGCGTCACACAGGGTTCATGGAATGTGTTGTCTGGGAGAGCCGTGACGACTGTCTTCAGGTTTTACCAAAGCTTTCCTAAAGAGCTCCCCATAGGTAGGATGTCTACATTTCTCCCAATAATGAAATCACGTGTCTTTTCCTCTACCTTATATAAATCACCAGGATAAGAGATGTCACTACACAGAGGAAACGAACCTGCCTTACAAGCTGGCGTGCGTTCTTAGTGGACAATAAAAACTGATTCTGACGCACGAGTTGCGTTCAACTCTTGGTTTTGTTGTTCTCAGCGGCTCAGGCTGACCCTGGGTTTCAATGCGCAGTGGGTTCCCTACAAAAGAACCCTCCAGTTTCGGACTTTCTAAGATGCGACTGGGTGTTCACATGTCCAGTCACGTTCCTTACTCACGTGTCTGGTGTCCGTTGTCACACGCGTGCGTCCCCTACAAGTGGTTGCGCTTCTGTGTACCTTACTGAGCGGTACCGTGGAGAGGACAGCAGCGCAGCACCTTTATTTCCAGCCCAGCACGTCTGGGAGCAAGCGTGAGAGCACCCTGATGTGGCTGGTACTATGAGAAGTGCCAGCTGAGGTTCTGTATTACTGTGCTTGCCAAGGCACTGCACTGGAGGGTTAGAAATGCTTTTCCTATTGTGTTTTTTATGCATTGTTTGGAGAAAAGTATCATAAGCCTATGGTGCTCAGTCGTGTCCGACTCTTTGTGACCCCATGGCCTGCAGCCTGCCAGGTTCCTCTGCCCATGGAATTTCCCAGGCAAGAATACTGGAGTGGGTTGCCATTTCCTATTCCATGGGATCTGCCTAACCTAAACTGAACAAGCATCTCTTGCGTCTCCTGCATCGGCCGGCAGATTCTTTACCACCAGAACCACCTGGGAAGCCCATAAACTTATTAGAGTACAGTACTGTAAGTCGATGGTGTCAGCTGGGTACCTGAGCTAACTCTGTTGGACTCACAAACAACCTGGGCTTGTGATTTCACTCTCAGAATGGAGCTTGTTCGTATGTAGACTTGCTGTAGTTATTTCTTTTTAGTCTAGATTTTCAGATAGATTTATTTTTTCTCTTTTCTCTTTGACTACTTGCTCCTGTCTTTTACTCTCATTTAAAATACTACTTTACTTGAAAAAAAAAAAAAAGAACTACTATAAGAACACCATATAGACGGAAAATAAAGGGCTATTCTGTTTAAAAAAAATTAGCTAAAAGAACACTGACATATAATATCAAAATAGAATTTAAGGCGAAATCTTTACTTTGGGAAAGAGGAAGACCTACATACTATTAAAGGAATGCTCTATTAAGAAAGTAACTTTCATTCTGTTAGTATTATAATGAGATGTAAAATTAATAATATTATATAATACTCATTTTGGTTTAAAAATGAATTTTACTAATTAAAAAAAGGAATAATTTAAAATAAAATAAAACACTACTCTAGCTTCCAACAGAGCTGAAAGGCTTGACTGTGCATGGGCCCCTCTGTGTCCCCACAGCCCAATACCTGTGAACTTCTCCAAGGGAGCAATACTCACATGTAAACTCGGGTGGTAGGTCAGCACACCGTTGTCACACAGGGTGACATACTTCTTCTTCCACTCCTTGTTTAATGATTTGCCACTGCGCTTCAGCAGCATGCCCTGCAGGTTGAAAGAGAGGCGAGGCGGGAATTAACATAAATCATCAAGTCCTGTGTACATCGTTAAAAAAGAGCAGGCACACAGGTAACTTTTAAATTGTTAAACTTCCATTTTCCCTTTGCCATCTTAAAATGGAAATGACACTTATTTTCGGCTTGGTCATTCAGTTTTCCCCTTTTCCAAAAAATATATATATATTCAACCAATTTCCTTTTGTGTATGTGAGTGCAGAACTTAATATTGTGACATTAACAAGTGCTAAGATGCGCCACTGGTTCAACCAATATAATACAAACCATTGTGATGTGATATATCATACCTTTTCCTATAACTAAGCTGTAAGCACATGGAGCTCCTAAAGGTATTAAAAAGGATTGTAAATTTCCTTTTCTAAAAATAAGACACTAACCATATTCTTCCTTCACGATATTTACAAATAAGAACATTTTATTTTACAGTTTTTCACTTCAGATCTTAATTTATTAAAAATGAAATTCCATTTGCAAACTTAGCAATGGCATTTAACAGATGAACTGTGTATAATTTACTTTAATCCATTTTTAATGAAATCATATTAGAGCTTCTTAAAAACCATTCAACACTTGAAACCGACACACAAGTATATTTAATCCAGTCTTCCTTAGATGACTGATGAGAATTTGCTCTTGTTTTCACTACCAATTCCCAGCAAACCTTCTGTCTCATTTCTAGGCTTTCTTGAGTGAAGAAAACCGGAGGCAGCCTGAGCTCTGCCAGGCCCAGCACCTGAGTCTGCACTTTCTCTTTCCCTGTTGGGGCTTCAGGCCCTCCTGCACACATGCATTCTGAGCTGCTTCAGCCATGTCTGACTGTGTGTGACCACGGACTGTGGCCCGCCGGGTTCCTCTGCCCATGGGATTCTCCAGGCAAGAATACTGGAGTGGGTTGCTATTCTCTTCTCCAGAGGATCTTCATGACCCAGGAAACGAATCCAGGTCTCCTGCATTGCAGGCAGATTCTTTACTTTCTGAGCCACCAGGGAAGCCCCACGCCCTCCTAGTAAAGTCAGTTTTAAACTTGCACATCTGGATTCGTCTAACTCCCGTCCACAGAAACGAAGGGGAACAGGAGAACCTCCCTCCTTGCTCTTCCGCTTGCTGCTCACTTATTAATGTGATCAGGGCTTCCCTGGGGTCTGGTGGTTAAGAATCCACCTTCCAAAGCAGGGACGCGGGTTTGATCTCTGGTCAGGGAACTAAGATTCCACACGCCTTGGAGCAACTGAGCCCGTGTGCACCAGAACCAGAGAAGCCAGCGCATTGGAGCTGCTGAGCCTACGCGCTCTGGAGCCTGTGCCCCACAGTGAGAGAAGCCTGCCCATGTGCCGCGATGACAGCCAGCACAGCCAAGACAAGGAGGAGTCCGAGATCATCAGTATGGCCGAGAAAGACTAAGACTAATTCGGGTTAATTCACCCAGATGGAGGCAGAGAAAAAACGGTCAGTCTGAGACACAGTCTGACACCCTAAGGAGGTGAGGCCTCTCGAGAGCTTTTATCAGCCCCCATCCACCTCCTAATTCTATCAATCAGGAACCAAAGTTCGAGAAACAACCAAGAAGGCCTTTTTTTTTTTTTTTTTTGCATGGACTGCAAAAGCCTATTGCATTTGTGATCCCATGGACTGCAGCACACCAGGCTTCCCCGTCTTTCACCATCTCCTGGAGTTCGCTCAAACTCATGTCCATTGAGTCAGTTTCCCAGTATTATGACATTGCTTTTTTATGGCCAAATTTTACAAATATAATGGATTAAGGAAAGCTGAGCACTGAAGAATTGATGCTTTTGAACTGTGGTGTTGGAGAAGACTCTTGAGAGTCCCGTGGACTACAAGGAGATCCAACCAGTCCATCCTAAAGGAAATCAGCCATGAATGTTCATTGGAAGGACTGATGCTAAAGCAATCAAGGTGGCAATACCTTGGCCACCTGATGCAAAGAACTGACTCATTGGAAAAGACCCCGATGCTGGGAAAGATTGAAGGCAAGAGGAAAAGTGGACGACAGAGAATGAGATGGCTGGATGGCATCACTGACCCAATGAACATGAGTTTGAGTAACCTCTGGAAGTTGATGATGGACAGGGAGGCCTGGCATGCTGCAGTCTGTGGGGCTGCAGAGAGTCAGACACGACTGAGCAACTGAACTAAACTGAACTGAGCCACCTGGGGACTCTGACCACAATGTTTATTGTTTCTGAGGGAAAACATTTCAGAGTTTGAGGCAACTAACAAGTAAACATTGGGAAGATCATTTCTTTGCAAGTTCTTATTTAAACAAGCGCATGACATAAAGATGCAGACCTGGATTTCCTGGAATCTAATCCGATATAAACCAAACAGGGCACTGAGACCAACAAAGCAAACGAGCTCCACAGAAAAATGTTAGCTACCATCGGAGGTGATACAGGTTTCAGGGCACAGTAAGAACTAGTGTGTGTGTGGCGATGAAAAAGCAACCACTGAACATCATTAAAAGTCCCTCCCCAGTGGCATTTCTAAGATTTTAAAACTTAGCCTAACAAAATCTGACATAGGGACTTCCCTGGTGGTGCGGTGGTTAAGAACCCACCTGCCGATGCAGGGGACACAGGTTCGACCCCTGGTCTGGGAAGCTCCCACGTGCCATGGAGAAACCAAGCCTGTGCACCGAGTTACTGAGCCCACACTCTAGATGCCACGCCACAGGTACTGAAGCCCGTGTGCCCCAGACTAACCCCTGATCCGAAACCAGAGAAGCCACCGCCTCCATGAGGAGCCTGCCCACTGCAAATAGAGAAAGCCCGTGAGTAGCAGCAAGACCCACCACAGCCAAATAAATAAATAAATAAAATTATACACATTTTTAAAAAGCCAAATAAAATTATACACACACACACAAACATTTTATACACACACACACACACACACACACATATAAACAAGTTCTTCTCTAGGCTCACATTTTCCCACCCTCCATTTCGGATGGAATTCTAGCAATACCAGGGGCCAGGGTTACTGTGTGTTATCATTGGCTAAGAGCTGCCCTGGTGTTTCAGAAAGCCTTTTCTTTTTAGAGATATTTTACTATTTTTTTCATTTATTTATTTGGCTGTGCTGGGTCTCAGCTGCAGCTGTGGGCTCTAGTTCCCTGACCAGGGATCGAACCTGTGCCCCCCACAATGGGAGTGCAGAGTCAGCCACTGGACCACCAAGGAGGTCCTCCTCAGAAAGCTTTTCCTTTCTTCCTCAAATGAAAGACAGGCCAAAGGTCCCACTCCGGGGCTCCATGAAGAGGGACACACAGCAGTCCTCAGGCTGTCTTCGGGGCACTTTCAGGAGCAAGTCCTGCACGGCCCGGTGAGGGGAATGAAGACTCCTTTCTTGAGGGAATAAAGGGACAATTCACCAGGAGGCCAAGTGAAGAGGGGACATCACAGTTTTCTGGAGACTTAAATTAGGCAATTTGTTGGGTGCTAGGAAAACAATATCTTGTAAAAAAAAAAAATCCAAATCTTTACAATCTTAAATAAACCCCGTGGTTCACCTCAGAGGATTATCTTTGATTACCTGCACTATTCAAACACTGCAGAATTCAGCAGGCCTGAAGACCACTCTGGTGTGCTCCGAGTCTCATTTCTGTCCTTCAGTCTTGGCCCCAGCTGGGTTTATCATTCCCCCTGTCAGACACCAGGTGGGGACTGACCGAGTGGCTGCCTGGCTCCTCGCTTCACACGTACACACACGTTGGGGCTGCCCGGATGCCAGTCTGGGCAGAGGTGGACCAGGTAAGGCACACATTTCTTTAAGCAGCCTGAGCACGTGCCGACGCGTTTCTCAGCATCGTTCTCTCGCTCACTCGTCCCCCGCCAGCAGCAAGGCAGGGGCTGCTGCTATTACTGCTCCCTCGGTTCGGATGTGAACTCTGACCACAGAGGTGAGGGCATTCATTAGCTGATGGGAAGTGATGGGATCAGCCACCCTGCCCTCTCCACTCCTGCTATTAGCACTGCGGGCTGCTAAGTTCAGACCTGGAAATGACGACCGCGGTCGAGCCTACCAGTGTCCTCGCCATGGCTCAGCCCAAAGCCTTCAGTCCCAAACCACGAGCTCCTTCTCTCCTGGCACAAATCCCCAGCCCAAGAGCAGCGGGTCATCCAGGATCCTCAGGTCACTCAGGTCTGATTCCTCTCCTGAGGGGCGGTGGCCGATTGGTACTGGTATTTCATATTCACACAGTGAAAGAAATGACAAGCACCCTTCTAACAGGAACAGAATCAAATGTGCCCCCTAAAATCTACTACACGTGGACTCAGAGGAAGAGGTTTCTGTTTGCTGAATCTTAAGAGTACCCTGAGAATGTCCTAAACACTGAGTGTCCTTGAGAGAGGGGAGACCACGATGAGAAATTTATGGAAGCACATCTCAAGGCTACTAAAAAATTCCAGGAAGGGGTGGTCAGGGTTGTTGCAAGTGGAGAAGGTCAGATCTCCTGATGGAGGCTCACTGAGGCCCAGTGAGGCCACCCTTGCAGGAACAGCCTCCCTGAACTGTGCAGGGAATGCAAAGTTTGTGTCTACGGTTCCAGATCTCCTGATGAGTCAAGAGAGAGAGAAAAACTGGAGCTTTAGGGACAGCTCCTTATTGTAGAATGTCGGCAATGGATTATACACTATCTGCGTGTAATTCAGGCCAAGCCCAACACATGCGCAGGTCAGACGCAGGCCCCTCTGTGTTTGTGACCTCGTGCCAAGAATCAGCAGAAGGCAGTAGCAGAGTCTGGACCAAGGTGCTGGACTCACAGCGGGCCATGTGGGACCTCCATCCTATCACCCAGACAACGGTCATCCACAGCTTTTCACTTCCTGGAAGGGAGTCCTGGATTAATGCCCACAGCTCTAGACGTCAGGGTCCACAACATATCCATGTGAACCTCCAGTAAAGGTCAGCCACAACACCAGGAGAAACTAGCATGTTCGGTGGCCT